GCAGAGGCAGAAACTCGAGCTGCATCGACCGCGATGCTGTGGCAGGTTTGTCAGAGGAGCTGCAGACTCACCTGTTGTTAAGTCATTTCCTGCGGCGTGTGAGGACAGTCAGAGGATCAGACCTGCGTTCAGGTTTCGTCTGCAGTGTAATAAACCTGCAGCAGCTGGCAGTCGGATGCTGGTGCTGAAAGTTTCAGTAAGCTGCGTATGTGGATGATTTTACTCTCTTTACCCTCTGAAGTCCTGCATGAAGCACAGGGCTTTTATTTTGAAAAACCGCTACAGCTTGCCGCCGTAGACCCACATCTGGCTGTTTTTTCTCCGTGACACTCTCACCTGGGTTTCAGCCGTGCAGAGACACCTGCAGAGACACCTGCACTCGGGGATCACGGCCTCGGCCGGGCAGACGAGCTGCCTCCAGGCCCTGATTTTTCAGGGTTTTAGTCGTCCACAAAGCGCTCTTCCTGCGTCGCTCGCTGTCTTTGATCGTCTTCTCATCATTTCTGCTGTCAAACTATAACAGCATAGTTTCTCCAGTACAAAGTGAGGAAGCCGTTCGCACACAGAGCAGCAGGAGAGGCTGGGACTGTGATGGATAATTCAGAGGCTGGGAGTTTGTGGGAGTCTGTCGTGAGCTGAGGGAGAGCACAGGACCTGAGACATGGCGCCTTCAGCTCGGCCACAGTTTAGCGATGGAGTCATAATCGAGCGTCCTCTATCTGCGGAGGTGCATCAGTGTGTAAACCCGCCGAGAGCTCGAACAAACAGCCAGCTTCCCTCTCCGGTTCCCACAGCGCCAGCAAACCTCCTGACAGCACATTCATTAACAGAGGTCACAACCTGCCGCCTTATAAGGCCGCGGACGCCTATCAGATCTGTAGGTATTTCCTGCCAAACACACTGAGGCTAATTTTACCTTGTGTCTGCCTTTTGTCTCCTTAATCAAACACTATGAGGCCGAGCGAGCGAGACGAGCTGAGTACAGCTCAGACGCTTTATTAGGCATCAGCAGCGAGTCAGCCTCAGAGGCGAGCTGCAGGTGAGCTGCAGGTGAGCTGCAGGCGAGCTGCAGGGGAGCTGCAGGCGAGCTGCAGGGGAGGAGTTTGACTCCAGGAGCTCTGCGGTGGGAACATCCGTCTCCTGCAGGCTACAGGGTGTCTGGAAGCTTCTGGAAGCTTCTGGATCATCTGTGCGTTAAAACGCCGCGCACGTCTCCCCGTCAGCGCAGCCAACAGGACGATTCCACTGAAAGGCTTCACTGAGATAAACCCATAAACAGCTTCCTGTGGACTCTCGGTCAGCAGCAGCAGAATAATCGTCCCGTCAGCTCCAGTCTGGACTCCAGCTGACAAGTTGGAGACGTGGGTTCAAAGCTTCCTGT